ATTATTTCGATTAAACACAATTTTAGCGCGTCGACCTCCGCGAAAAAACACAACTGAAAGGTGATTGACAGAAAAAAAAATGTGGATGGTGGCGACGAATGTTGCAAAGAAATCCATTCTTGCATAAGGGAACGTACTCTTAAAGGAAAAAAAATATGACAAGTATCGTGTCTAGAACAGAATGATAGAGAAATATATATTTATAAAGACGATTTGTTTACCTCACTATCTCCTCAAGTTGATTGGTGTATTTGCATTGTAATATGAACTCCACTACATGCATTTCTCAGAAAAAATAGAGACGATGTATCTACATTAATTTATTTTACATATAAATTTTTAAAAAAAATTTCGAAACAAAATTCAAAATTATTATCTACAAAATTTTATTTACATTCACGTTTCAATTTTCTGAAATTTCAGTTTGACAGAGTACAGATAAAACCACTCTTACAATGCGATCTACCAACATTTGTACAGAATTCACTTGTAAATCGACAATTAACATAGATGTCACAGTCGTAAAAGGGTACTAACATAATATGCAAGATTGCGTCATTAAGATTCGGAAAGAACTCACTGTTTAACAAACGAAGACTCCCTTAATTCGAACTATAGTCAATTTCATGCGTATCTATTGATTCCACACTATGTCCTCCGCAAACCATATTTAACTCTGAGAACATTAATGCGTTTTCTTTGTGATCTCTCGAATATTTAAATAAATGCTACAAAGTCAACGTCCGCTCATTATTCCTTTAATCGGAATGTAAGTGCCATAATCATTGTGGCAGTTACCTTTTTGACTATTCCAAAACAAAACGACTGCTCATACTGACTCGTATCAAATCAATCTTTGTCCTTCAGATTAACACTTATTCATCCTATTGCCTCCAAATAAATTCTATCATAGATGCAGAGATATGTGCAAATATTCCTATTGCACCTATGGGTCTATCCTACTAATTCCAATATCCTATTATTTACTAAAAACCACAATAGTCGATATAATAACACATACTAATCCATAACAAGAGATCCTTGAACAAGAGAACATATGTGTCATGCCGGCTTATCGAACTATACAATAATTTTATATTGTTATTCGGACCTCATGTAGTACGGTCTTGTCTATTAATACTTCAGTATTTGGAGAGTTCTAGATATATCTACTATAGATTGTAAAGATACCTGACGATGACCCTTAAGCAAGGTCGAAACGCGTCATGTCGATGCTTTCAATCTAAAACTTCTTAATAATCATTACATAATTTGATTATATCTATTTGAATTTATTCTATCTACACACCCATAATTTGAGAATCTCTTTAAAAATTTGTTGGATTCTAGTTATTTATACTATTTACCCGATAATATATATTATTGTAAATGATAAAAGCTTGGAAGTTATCGCTATATAACTTTTAACTATATTATTTGCAGTAGGAGAGATATTACTTTCTTGAGTAACATCATATAATCAAACGAAAGCAATTGATAAGTTTAACTTCAGCACTAATCGAAACCGATCTTGCTAGCTACATAATTTGATTATATCTATTTGAATTCATTCTAGCTACACACCTACCCACACCCACCAACACCCACACCCAGATCCACACCCCACACCCCTAGTTCAACCAGAAATGCTATCATTGATACGTCGCATTTATTTTTGACATGTAAGAATATGAAAACCTTCAAAAAAAGAATCAATACTGAATAAAAAAAAAGCAAATCAATGTTTATTGATACCACAAGAGTACTATCGATAATAAGTCACTGCTACACACTCGAACAGTTTCATCAATCGTTATTGAGAGTCCGGCATTATTCTCTGCTCGACATCAACTAATAGAGCCACCCATCAAACTGCTCTTCAGATCATGGCAAGCTTCTACTAAACTGTCCAATAATTCATGTCGACTAATCGAAAATTCCAATACACCTTTACTATCGTGCATACGTATAACATTATTTTCAGTAATAGTAATCGCACTGCCTTGCAGCAGCGCACCATATGCAACCAAAGGGGCCCAAGCAACATTCTCTGTTTCCACGAACGGCTTCATGAAATGATCTGAGGCAATATTTTTCAGCGTAACATTCATGTGCATCACACATAAATACAGTTTCTTAATCATCGTTGTGTTTAATTCCTTCATACCAAGACACAAAGAAATGGCTTGTTCAAAACAATTTACCCCGTCCTGGTCATTCATATCCATCCTTCCATCATTGACCGCGTTAACCACGCAAGTAGCCACTATGCTCGTTTTTGCTTTTTCACAAATCTTTACAATAGCTTTATGGGCTTCGTAACTGAGATACCCGTCTTGATCTCGAAGCGCATTGAGGAGAGCAGTAATGACGTCATTCGTTGCTGCTTTCTCACAAAAAATATGTCCAAGAGCTTTACAGGCTCTTAATCTCACATCCACATACTCATTTCGAAGTGCATTGAGGAGAGCAGTAATGACCTCATCCGTTGCTGCTCTTTCGCCAATCTTTTGAAGAGCTTCACAGGCTGCCGATCTGACAAACCATTCTTGATCTCGAAGTGCATTGACGAGGGCAGTAATGACCTCATTCGTTGCTGCATTTTCACCAATATATCCAAGAGATTCAAAGGCTACCTCACTGACATCCGAATCTTGATCCTGAAGTGCATTGACGAGAGCAGTGATGACCTCATTCGTTGCTGCTTCTTCACCAAACCTTCCAAGAGCTTTAAAGGCTGCCCATCTGACAAACATTTCTTGATCTCGAAGTGCATTTGGGAAGGCAGTAATGACCTCATTCGTTGCTGCTTTTTCACCAATATATACAAGATATTCAAAGGCTTCCTCACTGACATCCGAATCTTGATCCTGAAGTGCATTGACGAGAGCAGTAATGACCTCATCCGTTGCTGCTCTTTCGCCAATCTTTTCAAGAGCTTCACAGGCTGCCCATCTGACACACCATTCTTGATCTCGACATGCATTGAGGAAGGCAGTAATGACCTCATTCGTTGCTGCTTTTTCACCAAACCTACCAAGAGTCTCACAGGCTTCCTGTCTGACATTCTAGTCTTGATCTCGAAGTACATTGAGGAGAGCAGTAATGACCTCATTCGTTGCTGCTTTTTCACCAAACCTTCCAAGAGTCTCACAGGCTTTCTGTCTGACATTCGAGTCTTGATCTCGAAGTACATTGAGGAGAGCAGTAATGGCCTCATTCGTTGCTGCTTTTTTCCCTATCTTTGCAAGAGTTTCACAGGCTGCCCCTCTCACACCCGATTGTTGATCTCGAAGTGCATTGAGGAGAGCAGTAATGACCTCATTCGTTGCTGCTTTTTCACCAATCTTTCCAAGAGCCCCACAGACTCCACATCTGACATTCGAGTCAACAATCGG